CCCCAAAACCCCAAAACCCCAAAACCCCTTAAGAGTAAAATTTTTAGAGTTTCATTATTTAAGAATATTTAAGTTGAAATAATAAAATGATAAGTTTTTTAGCTTGCTGCACCGGAAATGACAGAAAAATTTAAAACAATAAAAATTAAGCAAGTATATAGTGAAAGGATCCTAATGCTGAACTTTCATAGTAAATAGTAAATGAATCAAGTTTTGCTGTGAAATTCGGTATGGAAAATGATTTGAGTTTTCAGAAAAGACTGAAAAGAGATGTGAGACGAAAATCTTCAAAACTTAAACCGAATCAAAATTATGATTCAGCTCGACCAAACAAAGGTGATGGTTAAAAGAGTAAACTCAAAAATTACTCTACTTCAGCAGAATCTAACCAGCTGGATGAATATTCTACACCTGGCACTTCTGATCACACGAAGGAGGAGTAGGAAAAGTTCAATCATAAGTACTTTGAATGATCCTTAAAAATTATTGACTTACTAATTGTTGGGAAAGAAAACTTAATTGCCTCCTAAAATCTACTCACTGAAATCAATCTAAAGAATGTTTTTCTCGAAGAACCTTTAGATAATGATTTGGAGAGACGGGAAAGTCAATATTTAGGGACTGCTAGAGATGTCGATAATGTAAAATAGAAGTAAAGACGCAGGTTTGTCTAGCTTAAGCAAGATGGAAATGACACTGAATAACTATACTTAATTGACGCTTAGTGGGTAAAGAGGTGGGTAAATTATATCAGATATTCCTCAGCGCCTCATCCAGGACAGATAATTAATGATAATCTGTATTTATAGCTTGACAATATAGGAGGTCTATTGTTAGGTGAAGATGTATTTTTTATTTCTTGGAAATTATGGAATGCGTTGTATGACTGGTACGGAGGAGGACCTACTTTAAAGTGGAAGATTGAAGTTGCTGAATCTTAGAAAAAGTCACATGTGAATAGCCCAGGTTACTTTAAATAAGAGACTATAGCAGAAAATATGCACTCAGAGTCATCTGATGGCAAGAGAGATAGTGAGGACTCAATTGATAAGAAATTTGATTCATATAACTACTACTCAAAGTTAAGGGAGGCTAATCCTAAGTAAATTGATAAAGTATTAAATACAATTTCACATTCACCAATTTAGAGTGAAAAAGTATCAATTAGAAAGGCTTCATCATCCCATGGTCTGAAAAAATAAGGGGAATATAAGCTAAGACTTTTTGGACTTGAAAACAACAATTTACATTGCTATTTAAATTCAGTGTTGCAATGTATATTTACTCTATCACATATTAGAGAGTTTTACTTGAAGAGAACTTATTAGATGGTAATGGTAAAAAGCCCTGTTTTAAATAGTTTGGATTGGTCAAGGCTAATGGAGGACATATCTTCAGATATTGAAAGAATGAGTAAAAAATTATCATTCTAAGTTGTGAAAACTAGACCAATTAGAAGATTGATAGAGAAAGAATTTAATCCAATTTTAGAGCACGACTCGCATGAATTCCTTCTCTATTTTTTAAATAGGCTAAAGGATGAATTAACAGAAAAAGATGCCTAACATCCAGTGTTCAATAAAGGAACAAGCATTCAAATGATATGGAAGCAGTATCAATAATAGTTTTCATCTATAATTGACAGCCTTTTTACAGTAATTGAAAGATCAATTATCTAATGCAAAAACTGTGGGAATAATATAAATCAACTATAATACTACTTAACATTCCCATTATAGGTAGAGGGTATTCAATCAATTCAGAAATCTCTAAGCTAATATCAATAACCTGAAAGACTTCCAGATTATCAATGCGAAACTTGCAAAATGAGGTCAGTGTGTTAAATTGAGAGACTAATAGTTAAATTACCAGAAATTTTCATCTTTTAGCTTCAAAGGTTCTCAATGTACCCTAAACTCAGGAAAATAAGAGGGTTGATCAAGTATGGCGAATTACTAGATATGAGACCATTTATTTAAGACAAATATGCGAGCGAATTGTGCAATAAAAATACTCAATATGAGTTAAGTTCAATTGCAGTTCATATGGGAACAATTCATGGAGGGCATTATGTTGCCTATGCCAAAAAAGAGGATGGAAATTGGTACTATATGAATGATGAAAGAGTTAGTCGTGTTTAGCTTCACGAGGTTCTAAACCAAGACGCTTATATATTATTTTACAAGAAGGTTTCAGACTGATAGCTAAATTATGATTGATATGGAATTTATAGTCTTAATATACGTTTTATAATTTTTGAGCATTTTAATGATTCTTTATTACTGATTGATTAGTCTATTAAAGCTTATAAAATTTTAACATAAATCCTATAATTAAATTTTTCAATTCTTAAAAAAGGAAGCAATGAGTAATATTTTACTAAGCTAGACACCAGACTTTAGCTTGGATAAAAACTCAGATGAGCAGTTTTCGATATGTGATCAAAACTAGTAACCATAGGATCTTTTGGAGATTATAAATTTTCAGCAACCTGCATCTAATAAGCAGAAATCAAAGTTGAGTGGCGGTAATTTTATGACTGCTGGCTTTGACTCAGATTATGACGCGAATAGCAACGAATTCTTCATTGAAGACTCTCTTGAGCATGAAAAGAGAACAAGACAACGAGAATTTGCAAAGAAATTAGAACTGTACTATAACAACCAGACTCCCGATGGACTTGATTTGGGTTTATTCGATGGAATGAATGATAATAGCAACGTAATTATTCTTGATGACCAAATCAATGATAGTGACGAGCAAAAATATCTCAACGAGTTAAATTCTAACCTCAATATCATACCTGATGATGTCTAAATGTTTAACTAGTCTATTAACTTTGACGTTAATTCATGCCAAGATGAAAATATTGATCCCCAAGGTTACCTAAACAGCATCCATTGTTTTGATCAAATGTAGAATTTGAAGGTAAATCCTTTGTTTGAAATGGCAAATCTATCCTTTATCAAGAGCGATTCTATGTTTGAGTAAATGCAACCTTAACAGTTAGACCATGAAACTGGCATAAAGGGATCAGATTTAGATGACTTCTACAACTTTAATATGAATGAAAATGATAGTGAGGAATAATCAGTTATCGATAAACTAAAGGATTAAAGCATCAGAAGCAGGAAAAAGCGTGGTGCACCATTTAAAGGTAAAGTATCAGATCAGAAAGAGGAGGGATTCAAAGTTTTAAGATAGAAAACTTTTAGAGAGTATAAACAGTTCTTTGAAAAAAGATCATACTTAAAGAAGCATCCTAACTAAAAAATGAAAAAGAAAAAAGTATTCGTTAACAACGACGACCTTTAATAGCAATAGAAAATCTTATCAGAATTCGATGCCTAACTTCTATTTTAAAAAGATTTATTCCCTCTTGTAGAAGAAGTTGTTAAGATCTCTATTACTAATTGACTCTACATTTTATAGAATAGTCGCCATTATAATAAGATCGCTGGAAACTTTGATCTCATTCGAGAGCCTATGTACAAGTATAGGAAGGATGTAAAGGAGCGACTATTCAAGGACAACTCAATGGCATTCCTCTGGATGTACTATAGATGCGAGGGTGAATTTGAAGTACCTGAAAATAGAGAAGTATTTGAGAGCTAAAGACTTATTTATGAGGATTTTGACAATCTTGCTCTAGAGACATTGAAAAAGGGAAATGCATAGCTACTTAGCTATATATATTAACTTATCAGAACTTTTGGGGAAGTTTAAAAAAATGATCTCGGATAGATATATTCAATTCTATCTACAAAGGATAAACTTGACTTTTCTTTGAAAATCAAGCTAGACTCAGAATAAGTTTAAATTAGCAATGATGAAGAGGAAACTCCAGGTAATCCAGATCAAGATAAAACTGAAACTAGTTCATCAACAACTGAGACAAGTCAATTTGAGGCCTGAAGTAATGAAGTGCCACACAACACCAACACACTTAACTCATTCTTATAATCTCGTTTATTAATTCCAAATAAATTTAAAACTGATTTCAACTTTAATTGCAAGAGGGGTTTTGGGGTTTTGGGGTTTTGGGGTTTTGGGG